TGGAAAGATATAGTGCACGATCTTTGCTTGGTATCGAGTACTTTTAAGTAAAACTTTCAACGGTACAAGAGAATTTCTGAAGCTAAAAACTAAATTTCAAAAGTTTTAAAAAGGTCACAAAGTCTAAGCGGCAAAAGAATCTGAAAAGAAATTGTTACAGCAAAGACTTTGCTGTTATTTTTCTAGCTGAAAATAAAACAGAATTGAGGTTCTTAAAAGCTGTATCAGGTTTTCTCATAAATGTTTTGTAGCAGTTGTCATACTTCAACAGAACTGATAAACATTTGAACGATGAAAAACAGTAAAGTTTTGCATGTGTCACTACAAAAAGAGAAATTTTTATTCTCCTTCCTCTCATTTTTTCTAATCTACAGCGTTAACATTTTTTACACTCGGTCAAACACGATTTATTTAGAGTGCTTTAAAATTTTATTGGTACTTCTGTGACTCACACTGTTTGGCGCAAATGAAAAAAGGCAAACCATCAGCGAAATAAAGTGACTTTCAAAACCAAACCTATTCTGCGAGCTAAACTAACAACAGTTAGTTTAGGAGATGCCATTTTTAAATTCATAATCGCTTTTAGTGACATAACTGTGAATGCAGAATAGTACAGAACCTGAAGAATTTTGTCATCTAATATTTCGATCTGTCGCCTTCAAAATCTTCTCATGTAATCTCCATTTCATTTGTTGTTTAATACTATCGCAAACAAATGTTTTGTTCTGTGTTACCGTTTGATCGGTGTTACACAAAAGTACAGGAACGATAGACAGACAATTTTAATCCTTTAAAATTATCTGCGGTTTTAAACGATTTTTAGAACATTCATACTCTATGATCATTTTACAGTATTATCGATACTTAAAATATTTATAATCATATTACACCCTCGCCTATCTCACGGCAAACAAACGGCCAAAGTGTATCACATGACTAGTATTTTATTATAGTTGGCACAGCTACCATTTTGCTACATCTGATATCAGGGAACTGTTCAAAATCTCGATTTACTGTCGGGGTAGCAAGTCGGCAAAGCAGTGATAGCAACCGTTTATGATTTACCCTTGTTCCTTCAAAACCGCGATTCAGTCATCGCCTTTGAAGCCAAAAGTGTTCTTCTACAACACTACAGTCGAACATATTTATTTTAATGCTTAAATTCTAACCCTCCTATAAAGCAGAGAGATTTATGCTTTATATAACTAGAAGTGTAACCTGGTAAAAAGAGAGGTGCAATATCCAGCTGTCACGTTGTCCCAACAGGAAATAGTAATTTTGATCAAGTAGTTATTATTATTGATTTGTGCACATGTAATATTTTGGAAGATCGGTTAAAAGTATCTTATATTTATTTCTTACAGCGTCATAATTCAAGCCCACATGTTACTGAATCCTGGACACTACCGGATATTTAAAAAATTGATATGTAGCTCATACTTCCGTACCCTCCGCTTATCGACGTAAGTCATTAAAACTGATATTATCTATACAGAAACGGAAAATTACTGAGGGCGACTGTACAAAGGTTTCATCAGGTTACTAAGAATGCAATGCTTATTTCACAATTAACTATCAAAAAGTTCCGGACTATCAAGAATTCTCACTTTTGTAAAACACGTGCTTTGTTACAGTACCCAAATTTAAAATGAAACTTATCGAACACTCACTGTGAAGTTTACGACCACCAGACCCTGAGTCCAGTATCTATTATGACCCAGTATCGTTCGTTTACGACTTAAAGGAAAGTGGTAGGGAATGTGTCATTGCTATCACCGCTAAAGTTCACTATCGTCATTGCTTATTACCTTGGTGATAATCAGCGGTCATCCAAGGAGTGTGCGGCAACACAAGAACTTGAAAAGAAATGTTTACACTTCAGAGATTGGGTTTCGTCCTTCAACATCAAAAACTTACACAGTTTTACCCGATCAAACTCAATCGCGAAAAATGCAGTGGGCAACGGAAATAACAAATAGCTTTGACGCAGTAGTACTAACTTAAAATTAAAACAAATCTTTGGACCAGAAAAATTCTCTGGACATAAATGCAACTCATCCAGCTGCCAAATTTCCCTGTAGTTCACAGAGTCCTAATTAAAGTTAGTAAATGTCTTTCACGATATTACGCCAAAATAAGGTACTAAAGGGACTAAATGATAACTATAGTATTTTCAAAGTTTTTATTGCTCAGTTACGTTACTGTCAACCGTAAACAATAGACTAGATGAACAACCTTGCACTTACCTGGTAACTTCACGGTATAGTGAAAGATAGGCAATACAAGATAAGGCTTCTATGGAAAGTGTCAGAAAGACCGACTGAGCATGACCAAAAATAAGAATTTTACTGGTTTTTCTATTATCTGATAGTCTTTACCCAGACCTTTTTACCTTAACCAGTTTTTTTTACTTTTCTCCAAAAATCTTTAGCAAAAAAAAAGCACTTAACCGAGAAATTAACGGAATGAATAATTGCCTAATTTCAATCTGTCTCGTCAAGTTTCCATTGTAAGTGTTCTGCCTCCTTTTTTATCAGAAATTGCTCTATAAATTTTGGAACCAGGTTTCTCGCATCAGAAAAATGAAAATTAAAAAGTTTTTACGAAAGACAACAATACACTGTTTACTTTTTTGCTTCCGCCATAAAAATGTCCTAGATCCATAAATTATTCATTTCACTGGAGAGTAACTGTCTAGAGATTTAAAAGATATTTTTAGCACACTAAAACGGTCAACAGAATTGATGGCAGCAACTGGTTATTCCTTCCAATCGATGTCAGTTGATTTCCGGCAAACATATCTCTCCTTATTATTCCTTAATGCAACAAAAAAAGATTTTAATTTGTCATTCTACTTTATATCCGGACACATTCTGATATTACTGCTGCCATAAACTGTCACCTCTTCAATATCGCGTCACAAAGTCATTCTAAAATGTTTGTTCAAAAAAAAAAATTCTAAATTTCTGACAACTAAATTCCTGAATTTGTTTACGACTTACCATCCAAGTTTGCTGTTAAAGTGTCCGTCAATTAGAAAGACAAGGAATACTTCAACCAAGCAAAATATCCTTCCCATAAACCGTTCAGGACGGGTTTTTCAGATATTTGTCAGTCACTTATTGAAACCTAATAATTCTTTTTTTGACGCATCTGTTCTTTTAATGAAAAAAGAGATTCACCAAACACTCAGGATAACAATTTTAAGGTGAAACCTTTGCACCGCAAGCGATCCCAAAAAATCAGCCAAAATTAACATTATTTATTTCAAATGAGTGAAAATAATGACAAAGAACGGTAAAGGAGTGGAATTTTAAGGCTTTTAAAGTCCATCCACAAAGCGTTTTAACACCGTTGTTTCACAGTACCAATCCGTTCTACTAAAGAAATTCATCGGCATTATATATCTTTAATTATTT